TACGTGGCTTGACTGTCGCTGCGGGGGCGGAGGCGGCGGGCAGCTGCGGTGGGGCGGCAGCGCTGGCGGATTAATGGGCCCACCGTTCAGAATGATGGGATTGACCTTCTCGCGCATTGTCGCCGACTTCGGGCTGGCGTTAATGCCGCTTGGCGGTGTCGGCGGCGTCGCGCTGCCGCCGACGCGAAACTGATCCCGCAGCGCAGCGACGCTGCTGCTGCTGCTCGAGCTGGAAGGCGGCTGCTGCGACGGCGGCGGCGATGGCGCTGACGTGCTTATCGTCGCGCTCTGCACCAGCGCCGTGTTAACGGCACTGAAGGGCGCCGCAATGCTGCTCAAATTGCTGTTCGAAATGCTGCGCGACGGCGTTGGCGGCGGCGGCGGCTTTACCGAGGGGCGTGCTGCACGTCAAGAATCGAGAAATTAAAAAAAAAATGTTTATACCAAATACATAAATTAATAAATTGTTTAAGCTGCCCATCTATGTTTAATTATACTGAAATCAGTTTTAAGCCCTTGCAGAACGTAAGTATTATAATTAATAGGAACTGTTTACATTCTATAAATTCTGTTAAGAAATTAACAGTACATTACTTTACATTATTCTGTTAAAACCAAATGTTGGTATGGCTATTGGGTACGAGGCGTTGGCAATCGGACAACAAGGATTGCGAGTTCGATTCCAGCTCGTGGCATTAACTTTTTAACTGCTCTTTTTTTAGTTTTTACAATTTTTATTTTTAATAATTTGACTCACATCCCTTTACTTTAAGTGTAAATGGTCGAGCTTATTCCTCAAACACGTTTACTTATAAATCTTTCAAAAGATTTGGACGCAGCTCTATTCCTTTGTTTTCCCCGCAACTGTATTGATTATAAGTTCTAGTTTTTAGCATTCTAAAGTGCTTGTAAAATATTTGAGCTGATGTTAAGTATAAGCAGAATCTTGGACTTAGTTCTTTGTGGAGAGCCCCCCCTTTTGCTATTTGATCTCTAATCTATTCCAAGATTATGATCTATAGTATACCAAGGGCAGATTAATAACAGAATAACATATTTACTTACTCTTTGGCGGATTGGGCGCAGCTCGAATGCTGCCCGTGATGCTGTTGGTGCTGCCGCTGATGCACTCACCGGACTGCAGTAGCATCTGTTGCTGGAGCGGCGCGCGCATTGTGCCAAAATGTTGTTGGGTTGTGGCGAAAACGGGTCCGTTGACGCCGCCAGCAGCTGGTGGAGATCTACGAGAGCAGAGAGCAACATTAACAAGGTGCTGTCGAACAATGAAGTATGCAATGCGATGCGTTAGTAGCTAGCGTGCAGTCGTGGAGCGGAAGTTAAGCTGGAAAACTAAAACCAAGCAGATGTGCGCATCTGTGGCAGTTGCAAACAGCGCAAGCGTTGTGCGGCCAGAGGCCTGTGAAGGCGAGTGAGAGTATGTGGGGCGATGCTATACCTGGGTGACTTCATGCTGTGATGCCGCGCCACCGCCGGCCGCTGATGCCCGTTGGCGAGCGCCAGTTGCTGCAGGCCCGGCGGCTTTGGCGCAAAGTTTGGCTTGCCAAACCCAATGGCCGGCTTCTGTTGCTGTGCTGCGGGCGTTGTGGGCGTGGGCGTGGGCGAGACATTACCACCACCAATTGCTGCTGCAGCAGGACCACAACCAGCACCAGCAGACCCACCACCAGCACCGCCAAACAGTGTTGATTTATTGGGCGCCAAATTGCGCAGAGTTCCCGTTGATGTTGTTGTTGCTGCTGCTGTTCGACTGGAGTTTGTTGCTGTTGTTGTTGCGCTTGTTGTTGTTGTTGTTGTTGTTTTTGTAATTGAACTATTTACAAAACTATTGCCTAACGAGATACTGTGGATGTGTCGGTTCGATTGGTGGAATTGGGGTTTAACCAAAATGCCCGGCAAAGAAACCAAAAACAAAAAAATATGCAAAAATATACAAAAAACATGTACAAAAATTCAAAATACAAAATACAAAATTACAAACATATATAAATATGTTACAAAAAGTTATAAATTAAAAAAAAAAACCATAAGAAATAGTTACACATATCTTGGTGGGACGATCCCGATCGGAAGCTGCCCCATTTTAGAGAGGGAGAGACAGAGAGAGAGAGACTTACCTAAGATTAGCCGCTTTGCTTTTCACGCTCCCGCTGCTGCCGCTCTCCGAGAGCGTGGGCGATGAGGCTTTCGGCTTGGCATTGCCATTGCCATTCGCAGTCGTTGACGTGGACGTGGGCGGCGCCGTACGAGGTATGTTCATGCGGTCCAATATGGAATCGCTGGAGTTCTAACAGAATAGAAAACAATCAAACGGGAAACGGGAAAGGTAAAATCGAATGGGTTACTTGTTGTCTATAAAGTGTTGAGCAACATATATAAATTATTCAATTTAATGATCAGCTAATACAAGTCGGAGATTTGTGATTGTTTATTATATTACGGGAGCTCAAATTGGAAAATAAAAGTCCATGATATCAACTTGGTTAATTAGCGAGAAAAACAGGAGGAATAAACATTGCAAGTGATATTTTAGAGACCAACAGATGTTGCTGTAAGTTCTATTAAATACTAAAACGTCTCTGGTTATGGAATCGGAATACAATGTAATCAAAGAATCTTTGGATACTCTTCAGGCAAGCGAGCTCCAACTAAGTATTCATGTTCGAGCTACTACTCGAACTTGTACTTGTGATTGTTTGCAACAGAGTTAAAGACCTATTTTTATTCAATGTGGAACAGTTCGTAGCACTTGGATGACTAAATAGATTTTTATAGGATCGAAATATTATGCTATTTCATAACATAATTTTCTGATACTCTTTAGGCAAGCGCTATCCAACTAAGTATTCATGTTCGAGCTACTACTCGAACTTGTACTTGTGATTGTTTGCAACAGAGTTAAAGCTCTATTTTAATTCAATCTGCGATAAGACACGCACTCGGATGCCTAAATAGATTTCTATATTCTATACTCGCTGTTGAAACTTCTTGTCGCTGTAGTTGGCTCTATTAATAAACTAATCGCAGTGGCTTTTCTTTGTGTGGGTCTCCACTCGCGTCACTCACCTTTGGCGGCTGCGGTGGTGGTCCGCGATTTGTTCTCAGATTGGCTTCGGTTGCATTGATATGTGTGCTGTTGCATGTTGCCTGCGGTTGCGATTGTTGCGGTTGTTGTTGTTGTTGTTGCTGTTGCTTCTGACGCTTCAATGTTAAATGCTTGGTGAGCTCCGCATTAAAGTCCATGGGTCCATTGTTGCCGGCGGCGCTGGGGGGGCTGTTGCTGCGCGTCGCTGCTGTTGCTGCTGACGGCGCTGCCGCTGTCGGTGCTGCTGTAATTTATGATTGTTGTTGTTATTATTAATATTATTATTGTTGTTGTTGTTGTTGTGCGTGGGTGTGCGTCCAAATATTCAAAGCGGAAATCAATTGAGCAACAAAACACACTCAATGTTCATTTGCATAAGTGATATATATATATTTTTTTTTTACTTACCACGAACGCCATTGACTGGCTTCAGTTTTGGCATCTGCGACAGGCCTTCGAAAAGGCCACCCAATTTGGGCGCTCCATTGCTGTTGATGTTGTTGTTGTTGCTGCTGCTGGTGTTGTTGTTGAGCGTGCGCTTCGAGGCGGCTGCCGCTGCAGAGCCGCCGCTGCTGCTGCCGCCGCCGTCGCCATCGCAAACACGTCCGGACAACGCCGGGCCGCTTTTGTCAACTGTGGCCGTTTTGCGCAGCTTGGTGCCCTTCTGAATGGAGCTAAGTAGCGCGGAGCGCGGATCAGCACCGCCTGCTCCGCCGCCGCCGCCCAGCTTTAGTCCGCCCATAGCCGGTGGTGGCGGCGGGCCCGGCGGTGGCGGTGGTCCGGGTGGTGGGGGTATGGCCATCTGTAAGTAAACCAGCGCAAATATTAGAAGCAAGCAGTGTGAATAGTTAAAGCCAGGCGTTGGTTAAGGATTACTTTCTGGCAGTGCGTGCGTCGAAGTAGACGCATTTTGGGCTTTCCGTGGTTTCTGTGCCCGGCTCGGACTCAAGACTGTGACTGTGACTGAGACTGAGGCCACAGACTCGAGACGCGCTCGAGCCAGCAGCAACTGTCGCCTCCCACACACGTTTAATAACTCAGTTTCTATACTTATTATATTTATGTATGCCCGTCGTTTGTTTCTTGTCTTGTCTTTTTTTGTTGTTTCGAGATTGACGCCTCGATAAAACAAAATAAAATCCAAGCGCAAACAGCGCGTAAAATGAATGCCAGACCCGCACAGTTTGGCAGGCATTGGGCGAAGCTCCCACAGAATCCACAACAAAGCCCACGTGCCATTGCCACAAGCTCATACATCATTGTCTATGTATCTGTGTATCTGTGTGTGTGTGTATGTACATACTTATATGAATACACGAATGCAAATGATACTCAAAATGATGGCTAATGCTTTGCATTGACCTGTGGTCATTAACATAAAATATTTTTAAGCATTGTCGAAATAAACAACTGAATGATTTAAACGATATCTGTCCATTGCGACATCTACACCCAAATAAGAATATTTTTAGATAAATATTATATAATATGACGGACAAATATATTATACCCTTTTTACCCATTTCATCATATCAACTGCAGGTTCGCCCATACCTAGCCGCGCTCTCGAAGCTTCAACTTGTTGGGAATTCTAAGCGTGTTGGGAATTATAAGCAGCAAAGCGAACATGAATTAAACGGATGTAAGGATATAACTTTAAAGCTTGATATTACATTGATTCGTCCACTTCATTCGTTACATTGACAGCTTTTAAATACCTCACCCAAAATCAATATCAGCCTTACAATTATCCCTGATCTTGATACCAGTGACCTTTCATTTTATTAGCAGCTGATAAGCGCTGATAACGAGACCTGAAAACTGTGTCAATTGCAAATAACAAATGACGAGAAAATTAAAAGCTGTTTGAGTGCATTTTATAGCAATTGAATAGTTATTGACATGGAGCTCTTGGGAACGGTCAATTTAATTTACATTTTATGTCTCATTAGCTGCTATGCCGCTAACAATGCAAGGGTAAGAAAATTGTTAGCTGCACTTCACTTTAATATTCAAATACAATCTAAATACAATCTGAACAGTGTCAAGATCTGGAAACTATGCATGATACGGCACAAAAGCTGCTTTCAAGGTACGTAGAGAGAGAGTTATAATTGCAATGTTTTGCCAAACTCATTTATTTAAAGTCTAGAAGAGCAGTTGGAAGCACTCAAAGGATACGAAGCAGCTGATGTTTCCACTTCCCGTAAAGATGGTAAGTATGATAGATTGTTAGATTTACAGACTTAAAGCTTCTCTCACTTGAAAAAATATTAACCCATAGACAAAACGTATCCCACATCCTGTTTGACGTCCCATTTCAATGCAAGTGGCGTCTATATGATACAGGTGCCGGGTCTGGCACCGTTTGCCGCAGCGTGCGATAATTGCTTTGCCGGATACGGCTGGCTGGTCATTCAGAGGCGACTGAATGGCAGCCTAAACTTCTATCGCAACTGGCAGGAGTATAGGGACGGCTTTGGGGATCTTTATGGCGAGTTTTTTATTGGTCTGGAGAAACTGCGTGCCATCACAGCTCTGGAGCCCTTTGAGCTGTACATTGTGCTCGAGGATTTCGATGGAGAGACACGTTTTGCCAAATTTGATGAATTCGCGATTGGCAACGAAGAGGATTCGTATGCACTCAATGTGCTGGGCACCTACTCGGGCAACGCGGGCGATTCGCTGCGTAGTCATCGGAAAATGAAGTTCTCCACCTACGATCGGGACAACGATCGCGAGTTTGCCAGAAACTGCGCCTTTTTGCACGTGGGTGCTTGGTGGTATAACAGCTGTGTGGACAGGTAACTTGCATAGATTGGCACCTCATGGTGTATGACTTATGTGTTGTCTCCTGCACCCTCACAGCAATCTCAATGGACAGTACATGGAGGGCGGCAAATACGAGGAGAAGCTCTTCGCGCGCGGCATGTGCTGGCGGGCCTGGCGTGGTCACAACTACGGCTACAAGTTCACCCAAATGATGATTAGGCCCAAGTGCCGAACCTTTCCAGCTTCCTTTAAAGGCAACAAGGTCTCGCAGCAGAAATGTGACGCGATCTCTTAAGTCTTGATTTGCATGCGCGGCTCAACATTAATTCCGGACTTGTCACAGAATATGGCTACATAATCTTCCACTTGATTAATATGCGGAATACGCATATGTCGAGTCCCAAATGATTAACAAATATATTTCAAGCATTTTATTTCCTGGGTATACTAGTATATCTATATGAATAAATCTACCCTGCATTCATATTTTAGATACATTCAGACGACATTCATCAAACCCGCTATAAAAACTTGACCTATGTTTTTACTTGTCGAGAATACGAATTTCTAGAGGCAAGCAAATGGAGATACCCTAGAATAGATTTTTGACCTAAAACCATGTATCAAGTCAAGCTTTAGAGACTTAATGATTTGTTTTTCGTTCATTTAACCTTTGACCTTTGTATTTATCATCTATCATTTCACAAAAAGAAACGTCTCAAATGAATTTTCACAAAGATCTTGGAAAATGATTTCAGAGCTGTTCGATTGGTAAATTAATAAATTTCATGCCATCGTTTTTCGTCAATTTTCCACTGTTGCGGGTGGAATTTCCATAAACAGAAATACGAGGGAAACACGTAGTTTATATATATGAAAAACATTTTCATTTCAATAATAATTTCCTAATCAAGCTCGACAATTATGTGCTCTGCTTTCTTTTCGCATATCGAGCAATGTCGCTTGTATAGATTTAATACTATATCATATGAAAGAATTCCTTTTGCTTAAAAAATATTCGTTTATGAAAATGAGATGAGTTGCCCAAGTGAATGACTCATTGAGGCTATTTGTGTATGGAAATCAGAAGCTTATCTTGTTAACAGGTTCGTAATACTAAGCATGAATAAAAATGTTCAGCCTAAAGTAGAAAATAGTATACCTCGTGCCCGCCGAGTCTACTGGGTACAATTGTAATCAGAGCAATTAATTGATTCGAATGTACTAAATGATTTACAGTTTAGTCTAGATTGCGAGATCAGAGAAGTAATACATAAGATCGTTGCATACATGAATTGCAGAGTTGGAATAAATTTACTTTTGTTACTCTCGTGGAGCATCATTAAAGCGGAGGATCTTACAAATGATGGAGATGGAGCACATCCTGCAAGAGGACAGTTGGGAAAACTTCACGAAAAGGCTGAACAGCTTATTGCAAGGTTTATTGGGAAAAGGCTTACCACTTTATATGCTATAGTTATTTAATCTTACAGTCTGAAAGTGGAACTCAGCCAGTTGGGAGCCAGTTTAACTACAGCAGCAACTGCGAAGACTAAGCAGACAGGTAAGGCGAAATCTCATAGCTACGGCACCCCTTATATACACAGTTTATCGGAACATCTCTAGGTTATCCGCCCTCCTGCCTGGCGGCAATGATTAACACGGATGGCATACACACTGTTCGGGTGGCGGGTCTGGAGCCTTTTCCGGTGGCATGCGATACCCGTACGGCTGGCGCCGGCTGGACAGTCATCCAGCGTCGTCAGGATGGCAGCGAGAACTTTTATCGCAGCTGGGCCGAATACCGGGCCGGATTTGGCAATCTGAGTGCTGAGTTCTTTATGGGCCTGGAGCCGCTGCACCTTATGACGCATGCAGAGCCCTACGAGCTGTACATACACCTGGAAGACTTTGACGGGGAGACGCGCTATGCCAAATACGATAGGTTCGTCGTGGCCAACGAGTCCGATTCGTATGCCCTGAGCGGATTGGGCAAATACACGGGCGATGCCGGGGATGCGCTGAGCTATCACGTGGGCATGCCGTTCTCCACATACGACAACGACAAGACCCGTAACCGCTGCGCCCTGACCTATGTGGGTGCCTGGTGGTACAATTCCTGTCAACATAGGTGCGTATTTTTTGGACATTTTTCCAGCCAACTTCTTCCAGGACATTGTGCCTTTTGCAGCAATTTAAATGGCCAGTACGTGGAGGGCGGCAGCTATGAAAGAAAGCTATCGGGCCGGGGAATTTGCTGGAAGAGCTGGCGGGGCTACGACTACGGCTACAAGCTGACACAAATGATGATAAGGCCAAGGTGCCGAGCAGCTTCAACGGCCGCCTGAGGCCATCGATTTTTTTATTTATTAGTATTTAGCGTTTGCCATTAAATTATTGATCGATTTGCCGTTGAATCATGCATCGAAAGATCTTGATCAGTTTTAAAGCTTTTCAGTACTTTATTTGTTTCATCGTTATCAACAACACTTTTTATTTACGTTTTGATTATATTTGGCTCTCTTGTTGTCTCTCACGTTGTTGCCGCGACGTTTGCTTTTGTTTTATGTATAAATTTCGCTGGCGCTCACAACATTTACAAGAACAATAACAAAAACATTAACCGTTAAGTGTGCGTTGCGCTCAGCTCGCGAGTCGAAAATCAACTGAAGAACAACGGCCGCGCATGCGACGCCAAAGCGGAGAGCGTCAGCAGCACAGCACAAGAGAGAGAGAGAGGGAGAGCGCTTGAACAACGCGTCAAGCTTTGAGGGGGCACAGGCGAAAAGAGAGCAGACCAAGCAATTCATAAAATTAGCTGCTAAGGTCGACGCGGACGCAGCCAGAACTAACCGAACTAACCGTCGAGTCAACGTCGCTGTGACGTCACACATTTTCGTTGTCGCCGTGTGATCGAATGCAGCGCAAGCCACTTGGACAAAGACAAGATACGAATAAAGAAAAAGACAAAGAGAAAGACAATACAAATAGCAAAGAGAAGCCGCAATGAAGACGACGCTGCAGCAACCGCATTTCAGCACCTGACGCTGACAAAACGCTGATGAACGGTCAGCGCAAAAACTGTTTAACTGTATCTCTGGGCCACTGTATATATACATATGTGTGTGTGTGTGTGTGAAACGTGCGAAATAGTTGCAGTCTTGCTTCAGACCTGCTTGAGTCATTTACTAGCACAGTGGGGCGAATCAGGGCGATTGCATGGCAGTTGCCACTGTGCCGTGCGCACTGGAAACTCCTTAACAGCCAGGCATGATTCATGCTTCAGCTTAATTCAGTCGCTAGACGGCGAGAGACGCTGACAGACGGGAAGACGCTTAATTGAACAGCTGCTAAATGGCCGCTAGCTGCTGACAATGATCGCAATGAGCAGAGCACTGACAACATTCATCTCAAATTAAAGTGAGCAACGTATTTAGTCATCCAGCGCATTTGCATAAATGTTAAAACATACATGCGCACATATGTATGCATGTAAATGTACTTACCTCATACGAGATATGTGCATACATTAGAATGTTTTGCAAGATAATATACGTTCCATAATTGGAGGATGCGTGTTTTTAATAGTGAAAGATTACGAGACCACAATAAATTTAAATCGAAAAGAGGTAATTTTTTAATTCATTTTATTTACCTATATAAACAACAACTACCCATAAGTATTCAATTATTTTTTCGTTCTCCGAACCGTTTTTGAATCTACGCGATTTTACTATCATCTTAAGTATAGACAGTAGGAGCATTCGTTATAATAGACTACCCTAATTTCAACTTCTAATCTTATAGCTAATAGCATTTAATACATTTCAGCAAGACTTTCTTTCGATACCTAGACATTTAATTTATCAGTTCCCATTTAAATTTGAATGGGACTGATAATAAGTATTTGTAACTTTAAAGAATTTACAGTATAAGTAAATATTTGTGTTTTGTCATATCTAAGTTTACGCCAGCTCGGAGCCCAGAAAGTAACATCAATTAAAAAGCGCGGAGGGGGGACGTGTGGGGGGACCCACTATTCATGTTTTGATGTTGGGGGCGTTTTGCGGCTTGGAACTTACGCAATGTTTGCGGTGTATTGTCTTACAGACGAGGAGGAGGAGGAGGCCCGCAAGCGACCACAAGGGCCGGGCGTGCATTTCAAATAGGCGTGTTAACACTTAACACACACTTTGACTTGCATAACGGCAATGGATATTCGTTTTTGACAGGGAAATCAATTTAGACGCGTTTCGCGGCAACATTTCCGGAGAGAAGCCATCGCATGAACCGAAAACGTAGCGTCTGGCCACAAATGCGTGCCGTAATGATTTGCGAAATTGAATTTGATTTTATGGACATACACACCCTCTAACAAGAACATTCGCTCGGCCGTATTTGGGGCAATTAACTTGATGACAGTTTGGGTCAATCGAGGAGTTAAAAAGGGTGGGGCAAAGTGGCATTTTATTGTCACAAACGCGGCAACACACCTTCGAATGCGTTAATTGAATAGGTGGGGAATCGCGAGCCAGGATAAAACAGCAATAAACTCATTCGAGTTGACCGATTTTCCCCTCTGACCTGTGAGTCATTCCGTAAACTAACCAAAGCACATCAATTCAATGCTCTGTCTTGAAGGAATGCCAGTGTCAGCCAGTCTAATCCCAGTCAATGAACTTGAACTGCCAGGCGTTATCAAATTGATATTACCCGATAATACATAGAACATATAGAGCGCGCGCTTCTTACCCAAGTAAAGGCTCTTTTTCAAATATCGCCAGGTATTTTTGCTTATGCACTGCGAAACGATAAGTTTGTCGTCTTTCAGATAAGATATAGCGAATATACAAATGCCTGGTGCCTAATGCCTTTAAATTTCCAGTAAATTATTTGCCATGAGTCAGAAGCTCACAAGAAAAACCCTAAATTGTGGACACGCGTTTATTTGGCACATTCCGATCACATTTGCAGAAGTGAATAGAAACTTTACGTATTCTTAAGATCGGACTATTCGATTGGCTGATTAATCCAGCATGAGTACAAATCGTTTATTGAAATTCAAACACAATAAACTGAATCGATTTAGATTTCCATGCAAACTTTTGTCACCTTTCCGAAATAGAGACTTTCCCATATAATAAAATACATTTTTATCCTTAAAACCTTATGAAGATCGAAAAATAATTATGAAAGTTATTCAATAATAAAGTGAGTTATCATCTTGGAACTTATATTAATATATATTATATGATTTGATGAATTCAAATCGTGATCCTTTAAACCAAAATATTATATTGACTGAGAGTTATCGGGGATTTGCTAGTCTAGCAAACATACTCACAATAATATTATGCAAGATTATGCAATTTGTTCAAGTTGTGCAAACGAGAGATCTGAGTTAGACTTTGCAACAATAGCTCAAGTCCAATGTTTCCTTATTTGTATTTAACAAGGAAGAATGCTTTTATCGAGAGTGCTTGATTGGATAATATCCCATACCCTGCTGCCATAGGATCGGTCGATCAGTCAAAAATTAAGTTCATCTTGCTCAAAGTGCGTATTTAGTATGTTTCCTGAATATGAGCCAAATCTGTTCAGTCAAAAATTAGTCTCTAAACTTAAATAAAAATGAAATAATAATAATGTACGAAAGACACAAGATTTATTACACTCGAAACCGGTTGGTTTTAATACGGATTAAATAATAAAATCATGAAGTGTCAACAATAAACTTTCGCTTTCAATTTCTTTTCGTGTCTGTCTGTAGTTTTTGGGGTTTGTCTTGGCCAACGGCCAGCGGCTGGCATTGGCTTCCAGAGACAGTTTACAGTTAATTAGCATTTCAATGACTTTTGGGCTAACAATTGTAAAAACTGAACGTCGTGCTATTTAATTGAAATTCCAAATGAATCGCAAATGATAATAGTATGTGACCGCAGTGCAAAACATTTTCAGAGATGAAAATAAACAAATGGGGCATTTGCACCTAAATGCGCCGCCTGCTATGACATCAGAGCAATATATACATATGTATATATATATATATATATATAAATATTTATTATGCATATATATCCGAAGATCGAGGTTTATATGTACAACACGTACGTAAAGCAAGAATTTTTGTTTACAATAAGTAAGCACATATCTGAGATCATTTAACAGACAGCATTGAGAGCGAGCGAAGAGAATATTATCAATGAAACTTGAAAAATTGATGAGCAATCGCGGATTTTGCGTATAATTTAAACAGGATGAATCACAAAAAAATAAACTGAAAGTCATTAGACGTTGAAAGAGTACGCATTTCCAAAGTTTCAGAATGAATCCCAATCATGAGATGAAAAATATTTAACCATTAAAATAGAGTCTAATGTTCATTGATAAATATTGCCATGTTTTATTATTAATATTATTCGCTGGAAAGGGTAATATAATAAATATAATTTAGATGTATCTTAGCCAGTTGACGAAGTTAATCGATATCCTATACAACTATAAATCTATCTAAGCTAAATAGTTTTTAAGAATCTCAATATTATATATAAATTAGTTTTATGGGAATTAATTTAAGTGTAAGTTAAAGATCATTTTGATCTCTTTATGAAGTATTTTCTCTATCGAGATAATAATGATATTTAATAATTGTAATCTATATTCCACGCATCCCTTGAATTCAGTATGCATTATACTCAACCATATTCTCTTACAACAACAACAACAATGGCAATAGTAATAACAAAGTGGGGCTCATTGTTGGGTTTATTAAAATGCGGTTTCCAACACCGTCGCACAATACTTAAATAACTAATGCAAAATATTGCAGCGTTGACATGGGCTCAATGACAACAACGGTGTTGAGTTCACTTTGGGTTTTGCATGTAGCACAATAACACGAGGAGCAAACAATGATGTAAACAATCAACATTTCAATGAGTCACCAATCTCCATGCGAATTGAGGAAGCGAAAGGCACAAAATTGTTTGTTTTTTATACACTCGATATCTGAGAGTTTAGTAACTATGACATTCAGCTAAAAAAAAAAACAATAGTGTTTAAAATTCTGCACACGATCTGCCGAAAAATGCTCAACTATGGAATATTATATCCCTATTTAATTGAAAATTATGTACTTATTATCATATATCATTCTAGCCAATTTCATTCTTGCATTCAAGGGTATGTCAACATTATCATACATCATTCAAGGCAATGTCATCCTCGCAGGGTATTTCAACTTCGATTTACACGTTTTATATATAAGTTTTTACGAGGGCTTTTTAATGATTCAGAGCAGTTCGGTGCGCATAAGGAAATGCATATTATGCTGCATAAATCATACGTAGCAGACGTGCCAATGAAATTGAACGGCAGCTCGAAAAGTATTGCATTTTCGTGTTTTACAACACTTGACGAATGGCCGCTTACAAGGTTGCAATCTGAATACCATTGTCAAAACTGCAGGCACGCTATCTCAGCCTCTCTTGCCGAGTGTGTTTATGGTGCATGTGTGCGGGAGAGTAGCGGGCGAGAGTAACGGATTGCCAACAATAGAAAATGTTGACATGCCTTGCATGCTCCTCCCCCCACCATGAACTGGTCGCCCAAATGACATTGAACTCGAGTATGTCTGCAGTTTTCGCACAGTGGCATTATATAACATAAAGTACTTTTTACCTTCCACAATAAGTTCCTTAAATGGAAATAGTCGACTCTGGGATAAATGTTATATAAAAATGTGTCATACTATATTCCAGTTATCTGTAGTTCGAGTACTTATGCACCCACACACATAAAAGCAAACTTATCGAAACCCATTTAAACATTCTTTATTGACCCACGGCAGTTTGCAAAGGAAATACCTGGCAATAGAGTTCAATAAATGCAATCAGTGCCTTCTAAATAGGTCTGTGTTATGCGATCTCTTCTTCTAGCGTCGGGGTTTAGAGAAACGTTGACATGCTAATTATTCTTTAGAGCACACACACACACACATAACTGTTGACGGATTCTTTCGAGTGTTATATTGTTCATGTTTTTAGCGGCAGGTTCGGTTCAATGCTCTCATCATACATACATATGTACATGTATTTACTTTTGTGCGAGTATTTTCGCGCCTAGCCCAACTTAAAATCAACCCCTGCACGAAGGCAATTGCAATTTGCCAGTAGCGGGGCGCATTGCACTCTTTGTAGGTCAGTGCTGGGCCCATTTGTTTGTTGTCAGTCTGTTGTTGTTGCAGGTGCAACGTTTTGCTTAATGTGATTAAAACAAAATGACAAATGACAAAATGACAGACGAACTGATAAAAATCAAAGCAAGTTTATTGCACCACAACTTATTACAGGCTACCCGGCTGATCGTGCCGGCAAATTACAGATTCGTTATTGCGAAGGTAAACACATTAATTTAAAAGCATTTAAATCTTAATTAACACAACAAATACGAAACTTTTTGCATTGTTGCGTGCATGTTGACTAAAATGATCATTAAGAAACTTAATGCAAGAAAATCTTACCAAAAATATTACATTTGGGAGGCATAATTGTTAATTATAATAAAATGTTGACGAATATTTAAAAAATATCAATTAGATTGGCAAAAAGCAAAAAGCTCTTGAACTGATACGTCTAGTTGAAGTGTGTGCATGTGTATGGGAAAAGTATTAGGCACATACATACATACACACGTATATGTATGTACATACACACATACATATGTATATTACCGTCCAGTTGCAGATAAGATATCGGAGCGACAAACTGCCCAGAAACGGCAACGATCAATTTGCATGGTTCGTATCGCATCTAGCAGTTGGCATACATTATGAACTCACTATTTTGTGGATTTGGAAAGATTTACATAACATGTAGCCCACATATAACATATATGTATATTTATTTATCTATATGTCATGTCTGGTAAAACTGGTGAAGACGAAATGGCAGACAAATCAAAAGCTATCGATAAACTGCAAGGGAAGACAGACAGTCGGTTATCGATATCACTTGAGACTTTTTTCTTACTTATTTGCTTAAAGTGTGAGCTGCACATATAAAATACTCTTAAAACAGGTTAATTTACAAACAAACTTACCTTGAAGCGGTTTGACAGCTGATTCGTTGTTGTTGTTGCAGCGATTATTCTCGATGTCGTTGGTGTTATAAGCGCGAGGCGAAAGCCTTCACTTGCACTTGACGTTTGGATTCTGCGTCACTTTCGATCTTAAATTTCTATTAACGCAAACAAAGAGGCTAAAAATTAAACAATTGCGGCGCAATGAAACAACAACGTAGCAGACGCATGCCCGAATGTTTTTGTTGCAGGTGGGCGAGGGCTGGTTGCGCGGTCAGCAATTTAAGAAGTTGTTTTGCTTGTCCGAAATCCACTGTATAAATTTAATATGTCCGATTTATATAAAAATGTAAATGTAAATAAAATTTCCTAGTAAATGTGCCAAAAAAAAAAACGTAGAAACTAAGTTTGATTAATAGACACATACACGCACACACACAAGCGCATACACACACGAGCAACTTGGGACTGAGAGACTTGTGCTTTCTCTGTCCGCTGCATTAACAATTAAGCGCACTTTGCATTGTATGCCATTAAGTTGATTGAGTTTTACGCTTTTTATGCATTTTTTATGTTTGGCCGGTTGCTGGACATCGCGATTCTGCTGGTGTTGTTGCTTTGCATTTGTTTTTGCAGGCGAATATTAGAAGGCAGGATAGATTGTTAGCAAATACAACCATGTAACACTAAAGATTTTGGCGGCGGCACAACTGATATCGATAGGCAATAGTAGTGCGCGATGATTTTTAGCCGATGTCTTCAATAAGTGTTGGAAACCAGAAAATTACGATTCTCAGGAAAATACTTATATTGCATTAAGGTACTCCCTTAACAATATACTTACCAGCTTTAAATTATTATACCTATTCATTTATTTTGTTTTATATTTACTTTAATTGACTCTGACTGACTGAATGATTGGTGATCAAGGCACAGCATTAACTTGTGCTGACGAGAGTTAAAAAATCTTTTACGAATTTTTGTTATATATCCAATTGTTATATATCCATGACACATTCATATATACCTAAATGTCATTTGAAATGGGTGGAAAAAAACTCTATTTATATTATTTACAGACTATTTTATTAAAAGACAATATAAACTTAGACACAGTTTGCATAATTGCTTTTGCCAATGTATTTTATAATCAACATATTTTACATTTGTAAACCGCTATAAAATCCTTCAAAGTATCTTCCTGGCGATGGTTCTCTAAGGAACGCAGAATGCTTACAAGTGAACTCATTTTTTTGAATATCATTATTAAACTAATTATTATTTGGTTAGTGCCTCATTTCGCATTTTGGAATTTAATTTAGGTTCCTTAAGCGACTTGGGCCGACAGCTACGACTGGGACGACCAGACAACGAGCAGTCAGTACTAGACTGATCCGCCCTGCTATTTGTGCTGTTTGTGCGTTTGGGTTTCGCCTTTGCAGAGGCAGGTATCCAATTAGTAGTTTCTTGTTCTCGCCGTGGTGTGCTGCTATCGCCTGGTCGATTAGATATTCCGTTGAAATTGCTAAAGTTTAATTGACTACGGCGTGGCGTTAGTGCTGGCCCCGCATTTGGAGAGGGGCACTGAATTATCACATGCATCGATGAACTCGTTTGAGCAGCCAGTCTTACGTGTTCTATGCTTGGCTCCAGACTGTCGCTCTTAGTGTCATTTTTGTGGACACGCGATGATCTACAGTGCGCTGATGTAATCCTTTGGCTATCCGTAAGATAACTTTGCTGGAAATCACATTTTGCATGCTCTATGCTTGGATCTTTCATAGTGTTCTCAGTCTCATCTTGCGTGGATGGCGCTACACAATGTGCTTTTGTGATCTTTAGACTGGGAATCAGACTATCTGTTTTGTTGGTCAAATCGCGCAGAGGCAACGGGGAGATCTCCATGCTGCTGCTCGAGGCCCTTAGTTTCTGTGTCTCATGCAATTTAGGTGACAAGGACAAAGTGTTATCCTCACTATCGCTCTCTTCAATAATAGAATACATATCAGCGACTGGCGTTGGAGACACCACCAACTTGTCTGGTGAAGCAGCAACTGATGTACCTGCTTCTAGGAATTCGGGCGAGTCCATGTTTCCCTGCAGCTCTACCAAGTGCCGTGGTTCTGGTGTTTTCCTGGCGATTACCAATGTTTCTTTCTAAAATACAAAGTTAAATGTTATTTTGTTTCCCAATTATCCTTATCCAACTACTTACTACAGGACTCGACTCTCTGATTTCCTCATGGCTAGTGACACTACAAGAACTTAGACTTCGACTCCGACTTCGTCTTGTAGGTGATACGGCCAGACTTCTTTGAAGCAGGGCGCTGGAACGGCGCAACACGGAACAGGCTTGGCTACTACTGTAGTGGCTGTGCCTAACATTATCTGATGCCGCTGAAGTTCGCGTTGTAGGATAATCACTGTTTCCGTCCAAATTCACATCTAGGGAGTTCATGAATGTCCTGAGTGCGCACTTCAGTTTGTTTTCGTTATACTGTGCGTCGGCCAAACGCATTTCACGTTCTTCTAGCAACTGCCTTTGGAGGTATACCTCGACTTTACGCAATTCTCCAATAGTTATTCGTTGCTTCTGCACCTGATCCATCAATTCAGCGTTTATTAATTTGTACTGCTCCATTATCCCATCAATATAAATACACAGCGCCAGGCAAAGACTATTTTGAGTTTGGCGTCGATGCTTAATGTGGCATCGATTATTACACAAATGCGTTATCGAAAATGGACGGTGTGTACGATATTTATTATTATTTTACCTATCGATATTGTCCTCATTTGTTTTCTTTTTTTATTATTATTTAAAACGGCCATAGTTTACTTTATTTGACAGCCGCCTATGTTTTTAACTAGTGTGACATTATCTATATTGTGATTACTGAGTCAATAACACACATTGTGTATGCATATTGCAGCAAAATAACCGACAGTGACTCAAATTAATTATCGCTTTTATAACAATGTCGGCTTTCAATAGAATCGGTAAGTACTTTTGAGTATTAATCGATGCTATTTCTGGCATCGACGCCAAACTCAAATTGTCTTTCCGTGGAGCTGTGTATTTATTTAAATGGCATAATGGAGCAATACAAATTAATAAACGCTGAATTGATGGATCAGGTGCAAAAGCAGCGAATAACTATTGGAGAAATGCGTAAGGCTGAGATATTACTGAAAAGGCAGTTGCTGGAAGAACGTGAAATGCGCTTGGCTGAGGCACAGTATAACGAAAACAAACTGAAGTGCGCACTCAGGACATTCATGAACTCCCTAGATGTGAATTTGGACGGAAACAGTGATTATCCCACTACGCGAACTTCAGCGGCATCAGATAATGTAAGGCACAGCCACTACAGTAGTAGCCAAGCTTGCTCCGTGTTGCGCCGTTCCAGCGCCCTACTTCAAAGAAGTCTGGCCGTATCACCTACAAGACGAAGTCGGAGTCGGAGTCTAAGTTCTTGTAGTGTCACTAGCCATGAGGAAATCAAAGAGTTTAGTCCTGTAGTAAGTAGCTGGTTAAGGTAAACCTTTCTCAAAATAACATTTTACTGTTTGATTTAGAAAGAAACATTGGTAATCGCTAGCAAAACACCAGAGCCACGGCACTTGGTAGAGCTGCAGGGAAACATGGACTCGCCCGACTTTCAAGAAGCAGGTTCATCACCAGACCAGTTTCTAGTGTCTCCAACACCACCGACTGCAGTCGCTGATATGTTTTCTATTATTGAGGAGAGCGATAGTGAGGATAACACTTTGTCCTTGTCACCTAAATTGCATGAGACACAGAAACTAAGGGCCTCGAGCAGCAGCATGGAGATCTCCCCGTTGCCTCTGCGCGATTTGACCAACAAAACAGATAGTCTGATTCCCAGTCTAAAGATCACAAAAGCACATTGTGTAGCGCCATCCACGCAAGATGAGACTGAGAACACTATGAAAGATCCAAGCATAGAGCATGCAAAATGTGATTTCCAGCAAAGTTATCTTACGGATAGCCAAAGGATTACATCAGCGCACTGTAGATCATCGCGTGTCCACAAAAATGACACTAAGAGCGACAGTCTGGAGCCAAGCATAGAACACGTAAGACTGGCTGCTCAAACGAGTTCATCGATGCATGTGATAATTCAGTGCCCCTCTCCAAATGCGGGGCCAGCACTAACGCCACGCCGTAGTCAATTAAACTTTAGCAATTTCAACGGAATATCTAATCGACCAGGCGATAGCAGCACACCACGGCGAGAACAGGAAACTTTTACTACTAATTGGAAACCTGTCTCTGCAAAGGCGAAACCCAAACGCACAAACAGCGCAAATAGCAGGGCGGATCAATCTAGTACTGACTGCTCGATGCTTGGTCGTCCCAGTCGTAGCTGTCGGCCCAAGTCGCTTAAGGAACCCAAATTAAACTCCAAAATGCGAAATGAGACACAAAGTAAATAAAGTCTGTTTTTATTGTAGGTCATTCAAGAATGTTACATTCACTCTAAAAGTATGTCATAATCTGATTTTGATTGTTATCCGCGAAGAGTATGCTTAAATTGTTAACGTCTACATATTCTACTCAAATTATCCCTTTGCTTGTAAGCTATTACGTCTACTATGTTTTCGTTTAAGACGACGAAGTGAGTCTTCAGTACATACCGGATCGCTATAGGCCCGGACTTCAATTCTTGAGTGTAATATCTTCCTGTTGTTAAACATGATTAGACTAGCCTGGGATTCGAGCCAGTTTCCCTTTCAAAGATTTAGCACGGTCGAGATATAAATAGCTTCTTTCATAGTTAAGATTTATATTAATCTTTATCCGTTAATTCTGATTTTACATAGATAAAAAAAAAAAACTGAAATTAGCTGATATAAAGCTTGTAAGCAAATATCACAAATTGCCATTAAACAATTGTAACCACATAAATTTTAAATATATTTTATTTTTAGAGCTATTGTAAGCCCCAATTAGTTTGATTATTTGATATTCTTGAAACATATACAAAAGAGTTGTGTATAAACTACAGAGGGCGGTGAAAGCGAAAACGCGATTACGCTGACAAATAATTGCACTTTAAATACAATATGTTAACATTTGCATTTTCGTTGTCTTGTTCAAACAACCTCAAATTTGCCCAGGCAGCAGTTCAAATGATCCACGGCATGTCCAGGCTGTGCCACGTTGGACAAGGAGGTTGGCGACTGTTCGGTATTTACTTTGATTTCTGTTATAATGTCCTGTATTTTGTGTAGTATCTGTTGTGAGTTTTCATTCTCTGTTACGTTTTCGCTTGAAGGTAACTGCGGCTGATCCGATGCGGCGTTACTATCTGTTGCTGGCTGCAGCTGTTCCGCTGGCAGCTCAACGGCCAGTCCCAAGCTTCCCACGAGCTTGTTAAGCGCGTCAATCTTTTCTCGCAACTGTTCACGCTCTGCTTTAAGCAATCGCATCTGCGCGGCTTTCTCATACTCGCGCTGCTTCAGCATGCGCCGTTGTGTCTGATAGAGGGCAATGTATTCGCCAATGGTTTCCGTTTCGCTTTGCAACTGCAACACCAGATGTTCCAGGCTGTGCTTCTCCTCGGTCAGATCCGCGACTTGGCTGATGAGTGTCGTAAAGCGTGACTGAAGTTTCTCCACGGCCTCGGCGGTGGGCAGCAACGGTGTCTCGCAAGTGGACAAGTGTTCGCCGTGGGAATGTTCTGGATGATGGTGATGGTGATGCTCTTCGTGCTTATGTTCAGCATCGTGCTCGTGCACCTCAACAGCGCCTTCTGCTACCTCAGTTTCTGCAGTTGACACGTCTTTGAGATCGTGACTGTGATAAACCTTGGCCTGTAAGTAAAGCATGATTTATTGTTTATACGGCTGCCATCAACTTTCATTCACTTACTTCGTAGTGCTGAAGGCGATCCAGCTGCTGTTGCAGCATAAGCTGCGTGCGCTGAAGTTCGACATTCTCATGCGAGAGTCGTATCATCTCCTCGTCTTTGAATTTGAAGCGTTCTTCATTGGTCTGCAACTTGCGCTCCATATTTGCATAGTTCAGGCGCATTTCACGGTTGGCAAACTCCTCGGCATCTAGTTTATTGACCAAATCCAATTTGTCGTTGGTGAGCTGCACAAAACGTACCTGCAGCTCATCCAGTTGCTGTTTCATGTCCATGTTTTGGCTAAGTGCTCGCGATGCCGCTACTTTATCGGATTCCATGGTGGCCAGTAGCTTGACCTGATCCGGCTGCTCTGTTTGCAGTCGATGCAACTCCTCTTCCAGTTCTGCGAGTTTGATCTCCTTTGACTGCAATTGATCGTCCTGGGATTTGATTTTTAACTGGAACTCGTGTCGCTCAAATTCAAAGTCGCTGATCCGCTCCTTAAGCGCTGTCAGCTCATTTCGTAAAGCCGTCTACAAAGAAATTGTGTGTTTATTATAACCTTTGGTCCAAGCAGATCACTCACCTCTGACTGTTCTTGCGATTGCTGGGATTGGTTGCTTGCTGCCTCCTTGTATTGAGCTTGCAGAGCCAAATTTTTTTGGATATCACGCTCCAAGCCGCTAACATGCTCTACGAGCTGGCGCTCGCGTTCCTTTAGCTCTGCAGTCTCCTCCGCAAGTTCCGCATTGCGTTCCTTAAGGTTCGCCACATAGTTCTGATACTGGACCGCCGCTTGTTCTTTGTCCTGCGTCAGCTGTGTTACCATCTGTTGTAAATCGCGTATTTGCTGCTCGTACATATACTGTGTTTGGGTGAGTGTCTCCACGCGATTGTCCGCATTGACGTTGGACTCGTCGGAAAGTTGACGTATACGCAGTTGTGCCATCTCAAGCTCATTGCACTTGTCTGCGTGCTGCTGTTGTAGTTCATCCTTTTGAGCTTTTAGCTGCAGGAGTTGGGCTTCCAGCTCGCCCAGATGCGCATTTTTATCCTCGATTTCGGCATTTGCTAGTGCTATTTTGTGCTGAAGCTCAGCGTTTTTATTGCGCTGCTGCTCCGCGCCGCGCTGCTGCTCCTGACAATGTTGCTGCATTTGCTCCAACCGTTGCGTAGTCTGGCCATGCTCTGTGCGTAGCTCCTCAAGTTCCAGTTCTCGCTCGCGGCACACATGCCGGCACTTAGTCAACTCCGTATTCAACTGAGCTTTTTCCGCAATCAATACTTGAATTGTTTGCATATTGGTATCGCCTTGCCCGTTGTGGGGCCAAATAGATTGTGCTAGGCTTGGTTCCGGCTCTATGAGCGGTACTGTCTGTTGTGAAAAATATGCAGCCACTCCGGTTGGGGCTGGCGTTGTGTGCTGCTCCAGCGTGTGCTGCGGTCCGCCGCCATTGCTTGAGCTTAAATCACAGTCGGAACGTTCCGACAAATTGCTGGCTATGCTCACTGTCGACGAATGGGTGTTAGTACCGACGTTTTCATCATTGTTGTTGTTGTTACGCTGCTGATACTCTTTCAGCTAAAACAATCATCAAAATCAATACAAGGCAGAGTGTTGGGTGTCCACGTCACGATGTTTTTCAATTTTACTTTTACCTTTTTACGCGCCGCAGCCAGTTTCTGCGCTTTGGCATCTTGCGTGTCGTCCTGCATGGCCAATTGAGCAGCTACAGCGGATCGCCTTTGTGTCGCTTAATTGCCAAATAAAACAATGTTGAATTTAAATGAAAATTGAACTGAAGTAATTCGACAGATAGTCTATCGTATCGATATTTTAGGGATGATGAATAAATATCGATATATCGCAAGTACGGTTCTCAATTAGGTCTACTTAATTTTGAAGGAACCAGTTCAATGTTTTAATTATGTTGTTCACTTGGAATTTGCACAATCAGCTATTATTACAGGCAAAGTTGTCAGGCTGTGCCTAGTAAATAGCTTAAATTGGTTTAAGGTCATTGTCACCTTACATAGAGATCCATTTATAGATTATTAATAAAATTAATAAAGAATAAAAGGTGTAAATAACTAGATCTGTTGAGCTGTTGGAGAATATTTATGAACACATATTGTGTTTAAAGTAGCAATATTTCAAATTTAAGCTCAAACAAAACAACATGTTGAATACCGCCTCTTAAAGTAGTAAGAAAAATACTAAATGGATTTCAGCGTTGCTTGCATTCGATAATTAAATCGCTTACGATAACAAATAATCGTTTTCCGGTGGCCCTCGATTACGTTGACGAAGGCGCGTACGTTTTAGTTTTCAGTTGCATTTGGGACTAGCACGAATACTGAACACATCAATTAAAATGATAGCATCCACAAAATGGCTTATCAGCAGTTTGTTGTATCTGGTTTTGGCACAGCGTCCGGTCGTAGCGAAGGGCCGTTACAATATCAGCTTTGCGCAGCTGGATACATGCGATAGCATCGACATTGATGCCTCAAGTGGCTATGCATACAAGGATTTTTTTATGGTGCACACTTTGGATAACAACAATGTCAAGTTAAATGAGCGGCTGCATCTGAAATTTTACGTGCTGACCAGCATGGATGCGCATATATTACTTTCGGTAACAAACCGGCCACGCCCCAATGATCGTGTATATGAGATCGGTAAGCCTTTTATTGAGATACCAGCGCATTGTTTTTTGCTCAAAAAATTCTCCCTCGCAGTGATAGGGGCCGGCGGAAATACGTTTTCCGCTATTCGCACAAGCATGGGCTTGCGGCGCGTCTCCACGAATCAAGATCCGCAACTGCTTTCGGTATACGAGCCAACGCCCATTGAAATTGTGCAAACGAAAGGTTAGACACAGCTAAAATAACTCTAAATTAAATTGCATTTACATAATAGAAGGCAATCTGCAGATGGCGACCTGTACGTTTACATACCCGGCTTCAAGAAGGAGCCACTGCTGCATTTCCTCGACGCCTCTGCGCTCAGCATTAACTACATCAGCTTCAGCACATTCGGATCGAACAGCGCACGTTGGTTCTACGACTGCGCCTTCGATGGATACCGTAAGTGTCTTGGACAGGAGAATGTCTCTATTTAAATATTGCATCTCTTTATAACCTAGGCAATGAAATGGAGCAGCAACAGCGGCAGCAATCGGACGAAGAGCGATTGCTGGGTGCACTCATTTACCAGGCGCAGAACAGCAGCCTGCCTGGCAATCTCAGCGAGATTGAGTTTAACTTTCAGATGCGCTCCCTATCCTACGATCAGTCCAGTGCCTTGTTGCGTACGCGCATGCAGCTCATGATGCATTGGCAAGATGAACGACTGCGCTGGCAGCCTGAGAGCTATGGGCGATTGACATCCTTGAAGCATCCCCAATTGCAAATATGGACACCTCAGATTGTGGTGCTCAAGTAAGTAAATGAAATAGCATAATATAACTGTCATGAATTGCGTTTAGCTTAGAAGAAAGCAACTCTCTATACCCTATAGTTGTAGAAAGTTACATTTTTGTAAGAAAAACTCTTGTTGTTATGTTGTTGTTATAGTGGCGCATTGGATTCGTTGGGCGTGGCGCTGAAAAGCTTTGAGCTGCGCGTTTATAGCAATGGCAATGTCAGCCTCATAGTCAGCAACTGGGAACTGACAACATGGTGTGTGGACACGGCGCGCAATTGGCCCAACGAGCGCATCAATTGCGACATTCAGCTGGGCGTGGATCAGAATCAGGCAAGCATAGCCTTAGCCTACGATAATCGCCGGAAACCGCTGGCGCCCAACGAGCACGTTAACACACCATCCGGCTGGACATTTGTGGAAATTGCCGTCACGCATGTGGAGAATGCCACGACTTTCCGCTACACACCCAAAGGCTTGCTTCAGACCATGTCTGGCGATGTGGCCATAGGATTTACGCTGCAGCGGAATAGCGAATTTTATAGACTTGTCTTCGTAATGCCGCTCTTTGGTAATTAATTATTTTATTTATCTTATTCCGAAGTCAGCACAACCTTTTTCCCTTTTTGGCAGTAACCGAGATTCTTATTGCGCTGTCATTTCTGTTGCGCGGCTATCGACGCGGCGCTCTCGTACTTATTGTGCTCCTGCTCACGGCCTGGGGTCTGATGTATCTCACCCGCCACGCCTCGCCGCACTATGTGCCGCCCTTGAGTAAGTTTTGCCATGATTGCCATTGACAACTTGTTGCATTTACCTTTCGATTCAGTGTCAGTCTATCAGCACATTATGAGGATATCCATATATTGTTATCTGCTGCACGTGGCCATCATGTGGCTGGAATGCTATCCACCCCGCGCCAAGGCGCCAGCTTGGCTCTTAGCCGTAATAAACTGCACGCCACTGCGTTTAATTTTAGGACTGCGATTCTCTGATGTAAGATTAAAGCACGTGAGTCTATTGCCATTAAAAGTCTTCTAAATCCTCTTGCCCGCAGGCAACGGAGTACTGTGATATTCAGGAGCAACCTTGGCGCCAGCTTGCAAAGATTTTAAACAATGGAAGCTTTATTGCAATCAATATTTGCTTTATCGTTTTAAATGTTAAAGATCTGTGCAGCATTTAAAGAAATCTTCAACCCTTTTAAGATTTAAACCAATGCAGAATAGCAAAACAAAATATGACATTGTTAAAATATTTGAAAACCAATTGTCAGAAGCGTACGTTTCCCTATTCTTTATCTTTTCTCCCGATTTCTCTGTCTTTTTCTATTTCCCACTCTCAAGTAACTTGCAACTCCAGAAAAGAAATATGGACCCCATAAGGTGTATATATTCTTGGTCAGCGTCAATAGCCAAATTGATTTCTGATTTATCGCGTGAAATATAACAAAAGGTGCATTTGAAAAATGTAATTTTTCTTTATTTGCAGTGATTGAGCCTTAAATAAATACAGAATATACGAAATATGGGAATGTGTTAAAAAGTAAAAAGTTTTGGAAAACGTGCGTCTGTCAACTCCTCCCTTTCTCTCTCTTTCTCTCTCTCTCTGTCTCTCTTCTTCTATCTCTATCTCATTGAATCTATTCCGCTTACTCCTATGCCTCACTCCGGCCATCCCAGCTCATGTCTCGTGCCGGATGCAGTGCCTCTTAGTGATAGCCATAGCCATGATCATCGTATCCGCCGTATGACAGAGCTGGCGCAGCAGCATAGGATTTCAGAAGAGTTGGCTGATAGCTGATCGCTGGGGCGGCATAGGACTTAACAACAGTTGGCGCGGCGTAACTGATAGCTGGTGCGGCATAGGACTTAACTATGGGCGCAGCTGCGTATGACTTGATGATGGGCGTGGCGTGGGAAACAACCTGCCAAAAGGAAGACGATCACAAATGATCTTAAAGTTCTTCACTGATTCCACAATCAATCTTACCGAACTGAAGTGCGAGTAACTGGTGGCCGGAGCGGCGACGGCTTTGACTACTGGAGCTGCGACGGCATATGATGGTGCTGCATACGACTTGAGCACCGTCGGAGCCGAATAACTGATGGCTGGCGCATATGACTTGATCACCGGAGCAGGCGCAGCATAGCTGATGGCGGGTGCATAGGACTTGACCACAGTCGGAGCCGCATAGCTGATGGCCGGCGCATAAGACTTAATGACTGGAGCAGCGGCGGCATAGGTCACAGCTGGCGCTGCATGTGCGTAGCTGATGGCGGGCGCAGCATGTGCATAAGTGATGGCGGGCTCCGCGTGTCCGTAGCTAATGGCTGGGGCCGTATGTCCCAAACCGTAGTCCAGCAAGCCGGGTGCAGCGCTTGCAGCGGCCAACAAAGTGGTTAGAATCTGTCAAAAGCGCAACTTTAGCAAGGATACACGCACGGACAGATTCAACAAACTCACCAGAAGTTTCATGTTTAAGCTTTTAACTGAGAACTGCAACTGTAAATTCATTGCGTGCACCCAGTTACTTTTATACTGCAACAAGGCACGCAGTCGATGTCTGTCGGACAGCGGACAGCGGACAGATGACTAGCTAGATAGCCAGGCCAGGCCAGGCCAGCGATTTCGATTTCGATCTCGTCGTTCAGCGTCAACAAAGCGGGCCAAACAGCACCAATTTGTGAAGTATCTTTGAAGTAGACAACGACAGCGACAACGACGACGACGTCTGAATGCGACTGGGATTCTTGTTGTTGCTGCTGCTGCTGCTGGTGATGATGATGACGCAACGGCTCTGGTCCGCTTCGATTGGCTGGCAAGGCAGACCACTTGTCGTCAAAGGCGGCAGACGGCAGGTGGTGGGCGGCGGGTAAGGTGTGAGGGGGGGGGGGGGGGCTGCCTGGTTGAGAGTTTGGCAGTCGCTCGGGATTTCTATTTAGAAAGCCGCATTCATTGAGAATTCTAATTGTTTGCTACTTACCAAATCGGTTGCCTCTTGTTAAAGCTAACCTTGTGGCTAACCACTTAATTAGCCTACGATTGCCATACATACATATTTATGTACATAGTATGTGTGTGTGGAATCCAGGCGAGAATGTCGTCTAATTGTTCTCAGCTGTGCCCCGCCAGGCGCTGTTGAAAAACGCCGGCAATTTGACACGGCCAAGAATTGCATAATTATCATTGCTTCGAAATAATGATCACAAAAAATAAACCAAAAAAAAAAAAAAAAACAACAACGACAAATTTCTAAACAATCTTTATGGATTTCTGCCGTCGGTCCAAAATGCCGCTGCGTGCCACATTTGACCATATTTGAGTGTGTTTGCCAAAATGCTAAAAATTGTGATTTTTCTTATTCGAGTTGTTGTTATTATTGCATTTTACAAAGTTGCCCGGCCACGCCGGACACTTTTGGTCTCAAAACATATGGAGAGCATGCTGGCAGCTCGTGGGACTTTGTCTGTTGCGCTTAACCCTTGTGGGGCTGACTTAGTGCCTGCGCTCGTGAATCCGGTGAGTGGTTGAGGTTTTAAAACATTTTTAAATTGTTCTATTTCCATTTTAAATGGCGGCTGCTTGAGAATCAAATGCGATTCCTTACCCCCAAATGTGTTTGAACCGAGCTTTTATTTTTCTTCCTCTTTTTCTGCAAATCGATCTGGCATCACAGTTTTTTAAGTTTTTTGTCTTCAATAAATTTGGTTACACTAATTTGAAATTTTACAGTAATTTTCGCGCTTAGTTTTTCATTACTTTTCTATTCAAATTCAAATACGTATTAATTTATTAGCTAAAGTCAAACAATTATGGATTTGTTCGACTGGTTAAATCGACCCACTGTGGCGCACATGTGTTAGGTCGAGCTGCGATGGTGACGCAGCAGTTATTTGGCTGCTGCACTCGAGCTGAAGCTGAAGCCTCCTCTCGAGAGAGGCCTGGGCAACACCATGAGACAGATAGACACCTGTGCTAGCAGTTCATGCATAAATCATGCCAGAAGAATGTGATTTATGTGAAATCTATTAGCAAATATTAAGTCAATATAACAATTGCGAGCAGTACTAGACTGTGACCAATGCGTAAGCATGTCTATCTATAATGTTTATAAATAAAAGATTTTATGCCTGCCCCAGTTTTGGAGAGCGTGAAAATTGCTTTCAACTGCTTGCCGAGTGCGAAAAGTGCGTGACTTTTTTCCTAGAGCTGGGAAAACATCGATATCTGATACCATTAGACATCGGTCATCGATATTATCGATGTTTGCAAAAAGAAAATAATTGGAAGAAATTAGTTATATTAAAAAGAAACAAATTTAGTATCCAATACAATTGATGTCTTCAGGTCTTCCGGCTTTTCGTATCCGAATGTGATGATTGGAATTTATTAAAATTATTTTATTTGTCGCTTTCATCCGCTCAAAAAGGGTAAGAGGTGGGAAAACCCTGAAAGCATCGATCATCGATAGTTTTCAAACACCAAATACATCGATGTAATCGATAGTTCCATCAAGTGTTTTCCAGTTCTATATTTTTCGCTCGCTTTCAGTTTTAATTTATGCCAACTGGTCAGTCAACTGGCCAGAGAAGGGTTGTAAAATCAGATGCCAAATTGCCCATTGCCAGTCAACAACAGGCGCACCATAAGGCGCCTCCCAGTTGCTTTATTTAGAGCCAACAAAACGACGCATTTGGCAATCGGGCGGCGCGGCGCGCTCACCAAATTAGTGCAAAATGCTTTAGATTTAGACTCCGACGACGACGGCGACGGCGACTGCGACGCCGACTGCGACGTGGATGTCGACGTTGAAGCCTAATTAACCAATGCATGAAAAGCAAATCCAAGGCGCAGCCGCGCTTTTTGGATTGTCATTGCCCAATGTGAAGAATTTTTTTTATTTAGTTTGCTATTTTTTTTTTTTATTTTTGCCGGCGAATGCCATGCATTTTTCGCAAATGCATCGAATGCGCATGCTCCACGCTGCGTATGCGTATTTTCGACTCACTCGAATTCAATTAATTAACGCAGCACTGAATTTGAATTGCAAAGCCACAAAGTTACAAAGCTGAGAAGCTGCAAATCTGACGCGACGTTGTCCAAAACTGACGCTTAGTTGGTTTTTTTTTTTTTATAAATGTTTATTTTGGTTGATTAAACAAACGGCTCTCGTGAATTTCAATTCGAATCCAGTTAAGTGTCTGCCGGACCTCATGATCTCCTGGAAATGTTGCTGACAGTGAAAATCAATCAATTTTTATCGGGATCACATATAAAAGAGGTCAGTAAAGTCAGTATTTCATTTTAATATAAATTTAACTTGTTTTAAAGATTTTTTTTTGTAAATTTTTATTTAATAATTTGATAAAACCTGTTACCCATAAATATATATGGGTTGCAGTTTAAGACAAATATTTATATAATTTGGTTGGTTTGCTACTTTCCTAATTTATTAAATATTATTAGTCGAGCTACGAGTATATCTCTAAACGGATGAAAATTCAAGATTATCGATAGATAGATATAGATAGATAATTTAAAGTAAAGCTCTTTAAGAACGTTCCTGCCCAAATCCCTTGACTAGATCGACCCGGCTGTTTGTACACTTGCAGGATGAGTACATTGGCGCCATACCCTGTTTCGGCTAGGCTACAGGGTATACAAGCCATCTCCCATCTCAAGAGCTAGCCACAATTATATATTCGCCGTTGGCAATAAAAACACGCGTAGCATTTATGACGTTGGCTGGCTGCATGAATTAATGAATGAATCAATGAAATGGAGCTGCTGCCAAGCTGTTAATTGGTTAACTGCGTCTGGCAAACAAATAAAAAACGCGACAAAGTCAAGTCAAGTGTTGCCAAAGACATCGACGCTTTGAGCGGCAGCTGTTTGCATTTGGCAATCGACGACTGGTCCCGGCGATACTTTCCATCGTGCGTTGATGGTCTTGTCTTCTTGTCCAGCACTCAAAACGGACTACGACCTGGCCCAAGTGGGTCAATAGTGCCGATCGGCCAGTTTGGGAATTCGAAAGACTGCTTTGCCCAAAAATTGTATGTCTTTATTATGAGTTACAACTTCCCCAACTCTCTTCAACATGTCCACAAATGTCTTATCAAAAGTTAATTTCTTATTTCCCATTGATCAACAGCATCAAGAGCCTGAATCTTAGGGACTGTAAGATCTACATTAATGTAACAACTATGCATTTTTTTGTGACATTTTTCCAAATAGACCAAAGCGCAGTTTTCTACAGTTTATCAAGAAAGAAAGGTCGTCTTTGCCAGGCCGAAGCTTTAATACCCTTCGAGACAATCGGACGACAATCCTCTTAAGACTGAGGGACTAGGAATAGACAAACCTGGGTCTGACGACTCGACTGTTATTGATTAGGAATAAAAAAGTAGCTGCTTCCATCCAAGTTAAAATTATAGTACCAAGTCCGTTTATCTAATTTTGTGTTCAACAAATTGCGATTTCTACTTTCGGTTAGTTAGGACACCAAAATATTCAATAAATTGAGCCAAAGTTCAAGTTTAGTATATTTCTATATTTTTGGGCACATAATTCAAATTTTATTATACTTAACTAGTCAGAGATTTAAAAATCTAATGTCATTTTCTAGATGCACGACTGAAATTTGCAACTCGTTTTCAACTTTGAAAATCTCAAAAGTATTGCATACTTTTTGGCTGTTACTAAAAATACAGCAGTATAAGAGAGCAATTTAGTCAAATACATTTAACAGATTTTAAAATAAAAAGATTAACTATAATTATATTTAACTTTAAAGTTATAAATATGCTAGGATATTATTTAAATAAATCAGTTGCTTTGTTGTGCACTTACAGCCAGATATTCACAAAATTCTGGCATACTTTTACTCGAATATTTAAAGTTTAATTTGTATTAAAACTTAACGAATTACGTTAAAAACCGAAGGCTTAAGCTAGGCGAATGTGTGTGTAAAATAGTATCCAATAGTCTTTAGTGAGTTTTCCATACTTTTCTTTAGTTTTCAACATTCGATAAAAAATAATTCAAGGAACAAGGATTTTTTGAACCCAGCATGATATTTTAGAGATATCTTTTGAGCTTTGATAATCAATCAGTCAGTCAGTCAATTGGTCAATCAGTCAGTCAATCAATCAGTCAGTACAAGCAGTTTTTTATAGAGAGACATTAGAATATTCGGTATTTTGTGGACCTCCTTTAATTTAAATATGTCCCCGCTAAATTGCATTCGCCAGCAAATTGCTATATTTAAATTTAGATCAAAGTGTTTACTAAGCACACACACACACCCGCACACACACACACACCCGCATAGACCACACACAGTTCAATTTCAGTTGGTGTGAAATTTGCAAAGGGTTGGACCTCAGATTTGCCGGGTCGGCTCAGCCAGGTGGGCAAACGCGGAGTGAATGTGCACTGACCTTAAAAAACATTTTTAGACGCGGCTCTCACAACAATAGAAGGACGGGAGATTAAAGGGACAACCTGGTCTATTGATTTTGACGTTTCGAATATAGATTTGAATTGAAGGAACAGAATCTGTTGCCACCATAAAACAGCTCACATATGCTACATATATATGTTTACTCGTATTTAATAATGCGTATGTGTGTGTGTGTGTGTGTGTGTGTGTACAGTTGGAAGTTGAAGTTACCTAATAACTTAAAACCCCAAGCAGCTTTTGTGGTCATAATTCGTCTTGGCCAACAATGTGGCGTTGGCCCCATCGCTGACGATGCCAGCCAAACAGAAACAGAACCCTCGGGCCTGGCCAAAGCCTCAGTCAAAAGGAGTGTCGTGCGCTGTTTGTTGTTGTTGTTGTTGTTGCAATACTATTGACATTATTGATGGAAATTCTTTTGTGTGTAACAAAAATAAATAAATAGAAAAAAAAACAACAATGAAAAAGGAAAAGCAAGTTGATTTGCGTAAGTCGACTGCTCGAATACCCTACAACATTAACATTAAAAAAATTAAAAAATGTTGATATTGTTTATGTGAAAATTTTAAAAAATGTCAAAGACAAGGCTCGAACCTTGGTCCGTTGACATGGAAAACCAACTTGCTCCTCGTTAGGTTTGAATCCTTGCTAAGAACCAATCTGATTGGAATCTAATATGAAATACTTTTTTGTTAGAAAATAACTTTTTGAAGAAGACAATAAAATATTATTTAAATAAAAGTAAAATATTTAAACAAAATCTAAGCCTGATCTGCCCCATCTCGAGTTGCATTCGACAAATTTGGAATGCCCGAAAGTGGCCGCCGGCAAGTGTATTAATAGAATACGCGACTCTGGGGCTGTTTACTCTTTCTTAGGCAGCAAATGAAAGCCCGACGTGTCGCGTATGTGGACAGGTGCATGTCAGTGTGTCTGTCTGCCTGTGTGTGTGTGTGCGTGTGCGTGTGTGTGTGTGCGTGTGTGTGTGTGTCTGTTTGCCTCCGTTTTCGTTTACCAACCGTCTGTTTCGAATGCAGCCCAGGCCCATGGGCCAGACTCGGAGACTCACACCCAGAAGAAGATCGAGACGTCGAGTGCGTGTGCCCCAGCCAAACAGTTATGCAAATCATGAGCGAGGGGGGCACACGTTTTCTTAAATTTCCCCTCGCCCACTTCCACTCGAGCTGGAGCTTTTTGGTGTGAGTGTGTGTGCATGTGTGTGCATGTGCGTGCATGTGTTTGAGTGTGTGTGTGTGTATTTAGCGCCTAATACCCAAGTTTATGTCGCTTAATTATAGCCTTTAAGCAGCCGCTGTTTAACATGCTAATCGGCCGAGCGCTTATGCGTCTCCTCCTGCACATTTCAGCGGCTGTATCAAATGACCAGCTTTGGCCCTAAGACGACAGCCGCCACTCGACGAGGCTCTAATCAGGGTACATGGCTTTTGGGTGGCTGGAAATTCTAGTAGCTTGGGAGCGGAAATCCGCCAACAGTCTGGCCTTTTAAGCAGATCACAACTATTCCTACGTCAATATACATACGTATATGTATCTATAGTTTGTCAGCTAAATGGTCCATAACTTCTTGGCCAGTCTCAAATATGGCCAGAACTCAAATAAGTAATTCATGCTAACCAGCCATGGGCGTAACTGCTGCCCATTGTTC